ATCAGCCGCTACGGCTGAAAGTCACGGGGTCTCTCAGCCGACTAGCGAGTGGGGTCCAGGAGCAACGCTCCCGGGCCGCGGTGTATGGGTTCAAATTGGTTTGGGTTCGTGTTCTGAGCCGGTTTGTAACTGCTTTTCCTTTTCCCGATTGGATTAGGGTTAGACCTTGGAAATGTAGTATATTGGAACTGGCTCTCTCCTGCCTGTGGACTAGCTAATACACATTGTGTTAGTGAACCACGTAATTTGTGTGTCATGTGTGTGCGCGCTTTCGATTCTTGCATTGTTCAATCCTCTTATTCTCGATCCGCAGAGCAACAGTTGTGACAGTTGTATTATGAAAATATTAAGTATTGAAATACAGTACCAGAGGTTGTGCCGGAGAAGTCAGCAATAGGGTATTTTATGCTAAAATTGTGGTTTGACCATGATTCAACCGCTTTATACAGCTAGAAACCACCTACCGATTTAGCCTCCGTTAGTACATTTTTCTAGTCGAATCGCCGGTACACGGTATTTCAATCCTTGGAAAATATTTTCAACAGTGGGAGGAAAAAATTCCCTCGACCTTCAGTTCTTCACGATTTAATCACTAAACGGCCATGCTCCATCCCTTCTTTTGACCATCGTGTTGAACGTATTATTTTACTTAGTTTAGGTATCTTATTGTAATTCTAAATACTTACCGTAAGTACCTAGGCTAAGTATAAGCTAGATTATCAACGTTAGGTAACCTAGCTATATATTCATCATCCTATGTATCCTGTAACCTAAGCTGAATAAGATCGACTCTGGAGAGTGCTACCTCTCCCATGGACTAGTCCTGATTATCAGGGAAACCACGTAAAATCCGGTGTTTGTGTTCTTTCTTTTGAGTTCTTATCATGGTATCAGAGCCTCTTGTCTAACGGTTCTCCGCTGCTTTGCATAGTCTCGACTGTTTCTGTGGATTTCTGTCTCGGCTGCTTGGTTTTGGCTGGAGGGTTTGTTTTTTTTTTTTTTGCGTGGAATTCAAGATTAGATTTTTGGTCAGCAACTTTTGGAAATTGCTCCGTGTCTCTTTGTTGTGGTTATATTCCCATATTGGTGCTCACTAGGTTTCTGGATTGCTCCGCTTCGTCTTTTTGCGGCAGCATATTCGCAGCTTGGCGCTTGTTCCGTTTCTTTTGCGGCGGTTCTAGTCCCCGCTTGCAGTTCTCTTCTGGTCTTTTTGCTGTGGTTTATTTCCGCTCAGGGGTTTGCTGCTCAGGTGGGTCACTCTCTGTTTGTCCCCTTTGTCTCTTCACGTGAGTGATTTCTTGTTCCGGTTGTTATTCTGCTACTTTGATCATCATGGATACTGTGAAACATGAAGCAATGCTGGCTCGTTTTGATGGGAAGAATTTCCCTCTATGGGAATTTCAGTTTCGCACATTTGTTCAAGGGAAGCGCCTGCTTCCCCTTCTTACGGGTAAGGAAGTCAATCCTCCGGAGCTGATGAGAAAGCTTTTGCTGATTGGGAAGCTGAAAATGCCCAGGTAATTACTTGGCTCCTAGGTGCAGTGGATGTGCCCACCGGTTTGAATCTCCGTCGTTTTGAGTTAGCCAGTGATATGTGGAAACATCTGGTTGCTACTAATTGTCAAGCTAGTGCCTCCCGCCAGTTTTATTTGGAGTTGGCGTTGTCTGCCTTGGCTCAGGGTGATCGTGATATCCGCTCTTACTACCAGGAAGCTATGCATCTTTGGACTGAATCAGATCTTCTCTCAGCTTCTCTCTCAGTTGATCCTGCCTCTGCGCAGACCATTGCTGAGCGTACTCGCTCTAGGACGATGACTTTTCTGATGAAGTTGAGGCCTGAGTTTGAACCTGTGCGAGCTTCTATTGTCCATCGCAATGTGACTGATTTAGACACTATTCTAGCCGAACTCTACAGGGAGGAAACTCGCCTCAAGAGTCAAGCTCGGGTTGATTCTCAGACTCTGGGTTCAATTGATGGTTCGGCGGCATTTGCTACGTCTTCTTATAGGCCACAGTTCCACTCTTCATCGGATGGTCAGGGTCCTCCGACTGCTCGTATTTGTCACTATTGTCGGGAGCCTAGCCATATTCAACCCTTTTGTAAGAAGAGGAACAGATGTAACTACTGCAAACAGTCTGGCCATATTCTTAGTGAGTGTCTTCAGCGTACTCGTCGAGCTCCTTCTCGTCAATCTGGTCTGCCTCCTCCTTCCCCTGCGTTTGCAGCGACTAATCATGGTGCGCCTCCTGCTCGCCCTATAGCGAGCTCGTCTGCGCCAGCGGGTGTGTCCAAGGCGGAACTTACCAAGCTTCTCCAGGAAACTCTTCAGGAAGTGATGTGTTTTGCTTTTGCTACTGGGGATCCTAGAGGTAACTCTCGGAATTGGCTTCTTGACTCAGCAGCTTTCAATCATATGACCAGTAGTCTTCGATCTTTTAGTTCTCTTGCTCCTACTGCTCGGCAACTTCAATTTGCTAATGGGGAAGTTCTTCCAGTCACTGGAATTGGTTCCATTTCTGAACCACGGTTACAACTCACCCGTACTCTGCACGTTCCCCGTTTAGTGCCCAATCTTATCTCTGTCGGGCAGCTTGCAGAGGATGGGTGTGAGATTCGGTTTAATGACACTGGTTGTATGGTGCAGGACTTGAGTACGGGGAAGGAACTAGGACGGGGATATAAACATGGGCGCGTTTATGTGTTGGATTCTCTCCAGCCTCGACCGCCGATGGAGATGGCTGGTGCAAGTCGGGATGTCATTGATGCGCAGGGAGTTAGTGGTTCATGTGGTGTTCTTGCTGCAGCCTCTCCATCTTTGATTTCTAGTTTTTTGGTTAGCAATAAAACTGATGTACGGGATTCTGTTTGGGATTTATGGCATTGTCTCCTGGGGCATCCTCATTTTGCTCGACTGTTACAGATGTTTCATAATAATTTGCTTCCTGCGAAGTTTCGTACTAGTTCATTTTCCCCTCCTACATGCTTGAGTTGTATTGAAGCTAAGGCTTCTCAGCTTCCGTTTTCCCCCAGTACTACTGTCTACACTGCCCCCTTCGATCTAGTTCATACGGATCTTTGGGGTCCAGCCCCATCTCCGTCTCGTAATGGGTTTCTTTACTTTGCTCTGTTTATCGATCATTACAGCCGGTACACATGGATTTATTTTCTCAAGTCAAAGTCCAAGCATCGCTCCCATGCTCAAGACTTTGTCCGGAAGATTCAGACTCAGTTTCAAAAGACAGTTAAGATAATTCGTTCAGATCCGGGTGGGGAGTTCAGTTCAAATGAGCTTCTTCAGTTCTATAAATCGGCTGGTGACTCGCTATGACACAACTCCTAACAATGGCCAAGTGTAACCAATGAAAGGGACTGCAATATAGTGGCTCAAGTAATAAATATCGAATCCACGGGTCTCTAGAGTTACTATTACTCAGCTTCAGTTTATTATTTAGCAAACTAGGTTAAGCTGAAAGAACTAAAACTACTCTAGTAAACTACAGTTAAAGTTAATCTAATTACAGGTTGGGAACTCATTTAGGTATGATTCCCCCTAGCCACTAGCCAGATTAACGATTGATGATCTCTAACTTGTTTCACTTTCATTCACAATGCGGAGAATCCTTGACTAGACCTTGAGTCTCGACTAAAGGAACAAGGCCCTCTTGAGTCAATTGCCTAGAGGGACGTATCCTTCTCTAGAACAACTGATCAAGGCGTTCTGAACTAGACTCCTTCTATCAAAAGAGGTTCTCAATCGATACAAAGCAGTGAATCAACCCTCGAATAAAGCAATCGATCCACTACTATCAATCTATGGTGCTCTATTGACCTAATCAGGTATTCCCTCTCATAGGATCAAAGCAGAATCAATAATCTCGACTAAAGCAGAATTGAATCATGAAAACATGCATAGATTGAATATGAACTCAAGATTATCAAGTCAGAGTACTCATACAATCATCCAATCAAACAAACATAGCTAGGGTTCCTCAAAACCTAAGTGAAGGGAATTTACTCCATAGAGAAGAGAGAGACTGCAGTAAGAATCTTCAGATGATCAGTCTTCAAGTACGGGCTTGTTCCTCGAGCTTCCAAGGCGAAGAAATCCTCCAATTCCACTCTTAGAATGCCCTCAAATAGCCCTTTCTCTCTTTGGTTCGTCCCTTGGGTGTTTTGGATCCAAAACCCAGCTCTCCCTTTCCTTTGGCTCGAATCTGCCTCAAAAACCGGATTCTGTGCGAATTACGGGCTGAATTACGGTCGTAATTCTTCCATGCCTGTATTTTGCCCACAACACGCATTTTGGTTAAGTTTCAGCGCACCCAAAGCACCTCTCGGCAGTGAAAATACGGGCATGGGAGGGGAAAATACGGTCGTAATTCTCCTGCCCGTAATTCTTCTCCGCTCTTGTTCAAAGCTTCGTTTCTCCCTCGTCCGGACTCCAAATCAGTCGTCGTTTGATGCCAGACGCTCGTAGTCTCGTCCTCTTTCTTTTCATAACAAACTTCCATGATAATTTGTCCATAATATGAGGTAGAAATCCATTATTCCTCAGGTCATGCTCGTGTTTCTTCTCCCGAATTGCCAAATGATCTCCGATTGATTTGAAACTTGCGCCTACGCTTCACTTTATGTGCTAGGGCCTGAAATGTGACAAAGGAACACAACCTAGCGTAAAATAAGCCAAAGAAGCGATAATGCAAGCTTAAACGATCAAGAAACAAAGGGGAAAACATGTGCAAATATCGAGTCATCAGCTGGTATAATCTCTCAACAATCGTGTCCTGGGGTCTCACAGCAGAACGGATTAGTGGAACGTAAGAACTGCCACGTTCTTGAGCTCACTCGGGCTATCTTGTTTCAATCAGGCGTTCCAGCTCATTTCTGGGTTGAGGCAGCGAACATAGTTGTACATCTTATCAATCGGCAGGTTACTCCGGTCTTGGATGGTCACTCTCCCTTCTATAGACTGTATGCTCGCCAACCGGAGTATGGTCGTCTTCGCGTTTTTGGGTGCCTTTGCTTTATTTTATTACCTCGTAAGGAGCACAATAAACTGGCTCCTAAGACAGTTCGTTGTGTCTTTGTTGGCTATAGTGATCGTTACAAAGGATATATGTGTTATGATCCAGTGGGTAGGCGTATCCGCATTGCCTATCATGTTCTGTTTATGGAACACATTCCTTACTACTCTCTCAAAGACTCCTCTGTGCGGGCTGTATTTGAGCAAAGCTTAGCCTTTTTGACTTCCTTTTCTTTGTCTTCGGGTGCTCCGCAAGGGGGGGAAGGTAGTGATGGTGAGTCTTCAGCGAGTGGTAGTGGGGAAAGTGATGGCGAGTCTTCAGCGAGTGGTAATGGGGAAACTTCTAGCTCTTCTTCACATGCCGCCAACGGAGAATCATCCTCCTCCTCGTCCATTAGCGGGGAATCATCATCCTCGCCATCTGATCCATCTCTAGTGGGGTCTTCCTCGTCCAGCAGCAGCTCGGCTACCTTGTTCTTCTCTACTGATGACTCTAACAATGACGACCAGGGAAATAATAATGACTTCCAGCAGCCACAACTTCGTCGCTCTACTCGCATAACTAAAGGGCAACCCCCTTTACGGCATAATGATTATGTGGGATTTTCGGCGGAACCCATTTTTATACCTGCAAATTATCGCCAGGCTTGTGGTATTCCTGAATGGGATGCGGCTATGGTGGAGGAGGTGGATGCATTGGAAACTAACCAGACATGGGATCTAGTACCTCGTACTCCGGAGATGTCAGTGATTGGCAGTAAGTGGGTTTATGACGTGAAGATGAGACCAGATGGCTCACTAGAACGACACAAGGTTCGTGTTGTTGCGCAAGGATTCAGTCAGGAGTTTGGGATTGACTACGAGGAGACATTTGCCCCTGTTGCAAAAATACAGACTGTTCGTTGTGTATTGGCCGTTGCAGCTATGAAAGGATGGCCTCTTGTGCAATTGGATGTTAAAAATGCATTTTTGCACGGTGATCTCAAAGAGACTATATACATGGCTCGTCCTGCAGGTTATACTAAGGGTGATGCAAATACAGTCTGTCGTCTGAAGCGGTCGTTGTATGGTCTCAAGCAAGCTCCTCGAACATGGTTTGAGAAGTTCCATGGTACGGTTGTGCAGGCTGGGCTTTCTCAGAGTCAAAATGATCCCTCATTGTTTCTGCAACATACTATACATGGGATTACAGTTTTACTCCTGTACGTGGATAACATGATCATTACAGGTAATGATCACTCAAGAATTAAGGAACTCACTGAGACTCTTCATCGAGCTTTTAAGCTTAAGGAACTCGGGAATGTTTCTTACTTTCTGGGACTGGAGATAGAAAGGAGTAAGCATGGTATTCTGGTTAGTCAACGGAAGTATATTCGGGATTTGTTGGTAGAGCATCAATTTGAAAACTGCAAGCCGTGTACAACTCCTATGGAACAAAATTTGAAGCTAAGTAGAACTAGTGGAGATTTGCTAGATGATCAGACGCAATATCGGACCATTGTTGGTTCACTCAGGTATCTTAGTTCTACTCGACCAGACATTGCCTACGCAGTACAGGTAGTGAGCCAGTTCATGGGCATGGCACGTACGATGCACTTAGATGCCGTGCGCAGGATTCTGCGATATCTGCAAAGTACTCAGGATGTTGGTCTCTTCTTCCCAGCTAAAGGGGAGCCTGTGTTGGAGGCATTTGCAGATGCCGATTTTGCTGGATGTGTTGACACGCGTCGGTCAACGTCAGGATGGTGTGTGCGGTTTGGTAGCTCGTTTGTATCATGGAGATGCAAGAAACAGGATCGGGTCTCAAAATCTTCTACAGAGGCAGAGTACCGGTCCATGTCAGAGGTTAGTTAAGAACTTGTATGGCTACAACGACTTCTGGGTGAGCTGGACGTAGAGTGCAGTATGCCTATGAAGCTGTTTGGGGATAATACAAGTGCTATTCGGATAGCTACCAATCCCGTTCTTCATGATCGGACAAAGCACATAGAGACGCATGTTCATTATATCAGGCAGCTTGTGACAGAGGGAGTCATTCAGCTTAGTTATTTGTCAACAGAAGATCAGACTGCAGATTTGTTGACAAAGGCGGTTAGTACCAGCCGACATTGGTTCTTGCCTAACAAATTGATGTTGCGTAAGCACCATCAATTTGAGGAAGGGTGTTGAAAGTATTATTTTACTTAGTTTAGGTATCTTATTGTAATTCTCAATACTTACCGTAAGTACCTAGGCTAAGTATAAGCTAGATTATCAACGTTAGGTAACCTAGCTATATATTCATCATCCTATGTATCCTGTAATCTAAGCTGAATAAGATCGACTCTGGAGAGTGCTACCTCTCCCGTAGACTAGTCCTGATTATCAGGGAAACCACGTAAAATCCGGTGTTTGTGTTCTTTCTTTTGAGTTCTTATCACATCGTTCATTCAGGTCGCTGTAATTTGTTCCTTTACTTCAATTTCACCGGCCGGGCGAGGGTGCTCTAGCTTAGCTGCTTCTTTTTTTTGCAGCACCTGAGCGTTCATGTTCTTCAACACAAATTCTAAACTTTGATTGGCACATGATAATCCATAGGACAAGCTGTCCGTCCGAGGAGACACTGCTGCTGCTATTATTAGAATTTATTTATCACATTGGTGTGGTACCCAGTGTTTAATTCATTTCTACCACTAATAGTACGTACGTAGTATGTTTTATTCTTACGAGTCTTACATATGTAGCCCAATCCCCCAAGATGTTTCTCCGCCGGCGGGGGTAGTACTTTTCAACCAACGCGAGGAGCGGTGATGACAACCCGATGGTCGTTGACCCAGACCCAGACCCGGTTGCATCTGAAATCCCGGGTCACCGGCGTTCCTTCCCTCAGCACGATGGCGTCCACGTTTCTGTTCTCTCGCTCGATCACCGTCGCTGCGAAGTCCCCGTTTCTGCCCACCAGCTCCGGCCACAAGTTCTTGCCTGCACGTATATCATTGTTAGGAGCTAGTTAGGGAAGAGACTCGTCAAAGATTGATCAGAGAACCAAGACTGGTGTACGTATTATTATGGAACACGCGGAGAATGAGTAAATAGATTTACCAGGACAGCGAGACGCCATTTCCTTGCTTCGATCTTCTTCTTCCCTTTAATTTTCACGTCGATCTGTGAGGTTGTTTATCTGTGTACATAATTGTGTTGGTGACTTGGTGTGAGGGGGGCCGTAGAGAGCTTAAATAGATTTAGCTAAGCGGCGTATATGTGCGCATCCATCGGTGTGAACAGCTAGCTTAGCTTCTGGCCGACATTATTGAATGCAGCTGACATAACGTATGGTGCATATATGGAGCTTTGAATCAATGGATCGGTGGACGCCTGCCGAAATTATCACATGTGCCCGCCACGTTTGGTTGGTGTTATCGGATAGCGGGAGACTTTCTTTGCCTTGGATTTTCTTCAGCACAAAACAAAGGACATGGATTATGGATGCGTTTTAAAAATAATAATAAAAAAAAAACTAAAAAGATTTGGGTCTTTAGTATCGGGGGAATGGTACGGTAATTTACTAAAAAAAATAAATAAATAAATTCACGCTCCCTGCCTATCGATCCGCGCTGGGGTCATATTTTTTCTTTTGAATTTGATATTAAAAGTTCCTTGTAGAAATAAAAATTCCATTTTATTAATATAATGATTTTCGTTTTAATATATTTTTGAAAAACAAAGTTTGAACATTCAAAAGTTGTGTTTACTAGTATACCGTATACGTGCATGTGGTTTGCCAAACTAACACGTCAGTTGTTTGCCAACTTTATTTTTAATTTTAGGGCAGTCCGATTTAAATATGGAGGATACTATATACTAGTTTTTTACCCGGTCGGTAGGCTGGAGAATTTCATTTTATTATTTATATTGACTAATTTATTTATATGTTTAAATTCCTTTGGATCTTAATACTTAATAATTAGTATACTCGTTTATGATGTTATGATTCTCTCATTATAAATCATGTCATGAAGGTTTTATCACGTCTCATTTAGTATCGTATATCAAGATTTATCAACCAAGATACTCAAATTATTATCTTTTACAACATATACATTATACCAATTCGTGATTCTTGACTTTGGATGAACTCTCAAAAAATTTATGAGAGTTCAAATTATTGGATAAAGATACTTATTACGGGATAAATTCACTTTATCCCAATTGAAACTTGCACAAATCTTACCCTTTATTATGATTAAATTCTTTAATCTTCACTCGTTTTCATTGTTGATGTTAATGAAGTCTCGGTAAGGATCTTCTAATAAAATTTGTATATCAAGTAACTCAAATTTAGTATCTTATATAGTACGTATCAATTGCTAATTGTTGAAGTCTGGACTAACTCTCAACTAATGGTTGTTGTCTAGATGTTGGTTTGAAATCTCAATCCAAGACATTCACATAGATAATCGATGGTTCTCGTATTAACTTGGTCCTTTTGTGTATAATTTTCCAAATGTTTAAATGTGCATTTACTAAAATTTATTTATCTTTGGTGATTCTTCATACTAACATTGTGACATTTCAAATGCATTTGAATTCTTGAATGTATTCTAGGCACATCTATAGTTAATATCTAAACATATATATGACTCAGACTGGTGTACTCATGGTGTATACCAGAATCCAATCTAGTGAGATATCTCTATCTGGACCATGAATTAAACCGATTTGGGGGTATGATACTATACCCTAACCTCTATGGGTAATCCTCAGGCTCTGATTCTCAAAACGCAAGCCATGAGTTCAATTTAATAAAAAAAAATTAATTTACCGTTGAGATTGGTCGTAGCTCAACGAAGTACATCTAATAGTCAGATCACTTAGAGTATATTATACTCCTGGAGTTTATTGTACTTTCAACTCTAATTAATACCATTGAGCTCGACTCGCCAGGTGAAATATGAACAAATTTTTTTGGCTATGGTAACTTAATGTAAATAAAAGTTGTTTGCTTTTAGAAACTAAAATATTTTTATATCAGGACTTGAATATGGGAAAAGTTTTTGTTACTACAAAAATTTGGTATGAAATCACAGGCTCACAACCATGCAACCAAATTACTTTCTACAATTTTCTTATTGAACTCACCCTTATTAAAACCTCCTCATTTTAACCCAATACCTCTATCTAGACTCTTGTAACTACGAAGATTTCTGGTTTAGATATCTCAACTAATTTTAGTGTCTCAATCGTCGATTTAGATTTGACTACCAAGACATTCAAATATTAAACAAAAAATTTCAACCTTTATTTGATTAATGTCTAGGTTTGTGGTTGATGAAACATGATGTTTGACGTACAACCTTAACAAAAATTTCTCTAACTTTCACACGTGTAATTTTTCAAGGTATCTTTTGACTCATCCTATGATATGAAGTCAAAGTTCGTCAACAATCACACTTAATTCATTTTTAAAATTTTGATTTATAATCTTCGACTTTAATAACTCCAAGGCAGAAAACAAAATTTCTTAGTATATGACGTAAGACTTCAATAGAGTTTGATCAATCAACATGACGTATAACAAATATTGGAAATGTAAACTTAGGGTAAATTATAAATTATTGCACCCATGATTCCTATGTTTTCACTTAATCATAATGCATAAGAAATTTTTTAAGAAATAACTATTATTATTATTATTATTATTTATGTGTCTGTTTGTTTAAAATGTTCATCAAAATGTCATATATATTTTAAATTTTTAGTAAAATTGAGTAAAATTTTGCTTAGTAAGCTTAAATCAAATACTTTTTGGTTTTAAGAAAATATGATATGTGTCACTCTAAAGACATTAGTCTACTGCTGCGTACATTCATATAATGCAAAAGCAAAGACAAAAAAATATTTGTTATAAGAAAAGTAAATACTAAAAAATATCGATAGCAAATTTGATAATGTACTCTCCATAATTTGTTAGTGCGTACATCAATACAATGCAAAAATAAAAAGAAAAAGAAATTTTTTGATAAAAGAAAATGAAATACTAAATAAAGAGAGAGATAGCTCCATGAATATGCCAATAATTATTATCTTTTTGTTTTTGTAAAAAAATGGTCCACCTTGACAACTTGTGAATTCTCCAAGTTCTTATGTGACAAACAATTACTTTTGAATTGCCATAATATTATGTATAGATAGATTTACTTAGTAAGATTAAATCAAATATTTTTTGGTTTTAAGAAAATATGATATGTGTCACTCTAAAGACATTAGTCTACTGATGTGTACATCCATATAATGCAAAATCAAAACAAAAAAGTAGTTGTTATAAGAAAAGTAAATATTAAAACAAAAGAGATAGCAAATGTGATATGTCACTCTCCATAATTTGTTACTGCGTAGATCAATACAATGCAAAAAGAAAAAGAAAAAGAAATTTTTTGATAAAAGAAAATGAAATACTAAATAAAGAGAGATAGCTCCATGAATGTGCAAATAATTACTATGTTTTTTTTTTGTAAAAAAATGGTCCACCTTGGCAACCAATTGCTTATGTGGCAAACATTTACTTTTGAATTGCTTATGGTCCACCTTGGCAACCAATTGCTTATGGTCCACGTTGGCAACCACTTGTGAATTCTCCAAGTGCTTATGTGGGAAACAATTACTTTTGAATTGCCATAATATTATGTATAGATAGATAGATAGATAGCTAATATTGTGTATAGACGTGTATTATAGGTTTTACTATGAGGATTATGTATTGTTTTATTTAGCCCATATTGTAGCTAATTTAGTGGACGTATGAGCCCATTGTAGAAGGGCAGCCTATGCAAACCCATGCATTGGCCAAGATGTTGAGGATGCTAGGGTTTGTAGGGTATTTAACCTCTTGTAAACGGTGGTGAACGGTACAAAAAATCAGACGTAGGGTTTCATCTTGGAGAGTTTACCTCTCCCGTGGATTAGTCCTAGCATTCCAGGGATACCACGTTAAATCCGTGTGTTTTTTGTTTCTGCGTGCTTGATTTACGTTTGTTAACATGGTATAAAATCTTTCAACCATGGAGTCAAAGAGATTTTCCATACGCTTCAATTCGAAAAACTATATGTTGTGGGAATTTCAGTTTAGAGTTCATGTGGAAGGGAAAGGGCTAATTGGCGTCCT